TATGTATGTATGTATGTATGTATGTATGTATGTATGTATGTATGTATGTATGTATGTATGTATGTATGTATGTATGTATGTATGTATGTATGTATGTATGTATGTATGTATGTATGTATGTATGTATGTATGTATGTATGTATGTATGTATGTATGTATGTATGTATGTATGTATGTATGTATGTATGTATGTATGTATGTATGTATGTATGTATGTATGTATGTATGTATGTATGTATGTATGTATGTATGTATGTATGTATGTATGTATGTATGTATGTATGTATGTATGTATGTATGTATGTATGTATGTATGTATGTATGTATGTATGTATGTATGTATGTATGTATGTATGTATGTATGTATGTATGTATGTATGTATGTATGTATGTATGTATGTATGTATGTATGTATGTATGTATGTATGTATGTATGTATGAGCATTGATTTCAATTTGCATGAAATGTGTGGCTCACATGCTATCACATAGGACAAGAGATTTATTCGATTACACATGCATGAGAACATCATTGCTAAAGAGAATATAACGTAAAACGATTTTTTTTCTAATAATAAATAAAAAAGAACTTCTTTTAATAGATTCTTTATCAAGTATATAGATTCTCATAAATAAACTCCCACACGTTTAAAAAGATTGTCGCTACGTTGAAGTCTTAACGTTCAACTTAAGTTTAAAAACAAAGAAAAAAAGCCTGCGAGCACTCTGACACTCGCCTCAATGATTCGTCCCATACTCCTCAGAAAGTTCGCCCGACCTTATTTTACTAACTATATATGTTGTGTATATCATTAAAGGTTGACGTAGATAATTCATCGTCCTTTAACCAGAGGTTAGGTGTTGGAATCCTGTATTGGAAATGAAGTAATCTTTGAAATTAGTCTTTTACTGCTTTGTAAGCTGTATAAAAAAGGTGAGAGTTTATATATATATATATATATATATATATATATATATAGAAAGTTGAAATCCATTGAAATAGCAAAATTGATAAAGATAAAAAAAAAAAACTTTCTTGGAGACATCATAGTGTATTTTCAAAATCTCACATAAATATATCCAAAATAGGTATTCATACCCCTAAAGCATTTTATGGTTACGCTTCCGTTTCACAAATTTTACGTATATCTACCATTAAATATAAAACTACATTGACATATAACAAAATTCATATATTAACATAGCATACCATCAATTCAAAGGACTATCTCAAACTTCATTTGTTAAAAGTCATACAATATATAAAAAAATATGGAAACAGTTATTTTTTAAAAATCGGGTTTTATCTTATTGTGTTTTGAAAATTTGAATATATCCGATTTTTCTTAATTTTTTTTTATATATCATCCAATTTTTTCCTTAGATGTAATAATTATTAGATTTTCATCTTAATTTTCAAAAATTCATTTTTGTTTTCTAAATTTTATTAGGAAATTTTAAACAATGAAGAAATGGACGTTTTTTAAAAATGGAAAGAAATCGGATTAAAATTTTAAATATAGTTGAATGAATTATTAAAATTTATAGAAAAATTAATAAATTTATTTTCGAAAATATAGATGAAACATAATATCAAACACGGAATTAACTGTTTTCTTTAGAAAAATTATAAAAAAAAAAAGAAAAGAAAAAAGAGAGAAGAAGCACACACTGGGCTCGAGAATCGTTCGACAGAATTGAGAGACAGACCGAGAAAACGTACTCCTCTCCTCGGGGGTCTCCCCCCTTATCATTCCCTTCTCTCTCTCTCTCTTGCCACAATTATTAATTTTAATATTAATTTTAGCATTTAAAATATTTTATTTTACACCAATAATTATTAAAAAAAATATATAAAAATATTATTCTGTCTTGAGAAAACGTCAATCAATACTTCCGTTCCACTCAACTTACACGTACGGCTAATGGACTTCATGTGTTCGGTGTCCTTGTTTATGATGGCATCATGCCAATGATGTCATGGATGTGTGGATAGAGATACCATCACGCCATTACTGATTTTATAACGATTTTAACATTATAATTCACATTATTCTAAGAACAATTCGATAGAAATAGTTTGCATGAATGGATCATAAAATATCGTAAATAAATCACGACAGCTGATGAAATTCATCTTAATCAAAATGCCCAAATTGTTTTAAGGATTCCAAACACAATGATTGGAAGCGAATAGAAAATGTCAAGAACTGCCCGGAATCATATATATATATATATAAATGTTCATGTAATGAAACATGAAAACCAATCCCAAAAATGGATTCTTAGTTATTGATAAGAGTCTTAGAATATATAAGATATAAGAAAAATGACATTCTCCTATACAAATTTAACCAAACGTGATCTTTTCATACACGTATTTTTTTTAATTTAACAAAAAACTATATTTGAATTCAAAATTTCTCAAATATCTGAACAAATTGTTAAAATTAATAGTAATTGCATGTATAATCATCAATTGCGTTAAAAGTTTTTGAATTCTGTTATAAGTAATGCGCTGACGTATATGGTAGTTACAATAATTACCTAACTAATATATTAGTTAATAGAATGGAAATTTTTTTTAACGAAATTGATGATTATGTATGTAAATTATTATTAATTTTAACAATTCGTATAGATATTTGAAAAATTTTGAATTCAAATATAATTTTTTGTTAAATTAAAAATATATATATGAAAAGGTCATATAGAAAAATATTTTATGTACCATATATTTTGGCGAGAAATATTACAATCCTAATTTCTCTCTAAATAATTTTGGATATTTTCAAATAATTAATTTTCTTTTGTGTTGAATTGAAGGAAAATATCGCAATAAAAAGTACGTGTAGGTGGCGGGATGTTCCCTTCAATAGCCACATAGTATGCAAAGAGTAACATGGTTCTTTTAATTTTTCTTTTTCTCTTTTTTTTTTTTAATCGCTCGATATAATATTTATATGTAATAACAATAGTGGGAATATAGTATTAATAAGGCAACGATCCTCTTTTTCACTGCCCGAATCTCTCTGTTTCCATAAACTATATAAATAACTAATGCATGTGCCGATAAACGCTAGCTGTTCCCTGGTGCATATCCATTCGCCAAATCACTGATTTATTACTTGTTGACCATAAATAATATCTCTATTTATTTACCTCAAAATTGTATATTTTAAATTATGTGAGGCAGGGGCGTATAATTTTTTAATTAAATGTGGATAAAATTAAAATTATTGCACAGAGAGAATGGAGGAACCAATCTTTTATTCGATTGTATCCATAAATTAGATGGAGGAAAAATCCTTTTTTTTTTACAAAGAACACAAAAAAAAAATCCGACAAGAGCCAATGATTTTGTATTGATACGATCAAAAGATTGTCTTTTACCTTAAACGGTCTCGATGTGACCGTACAATGAGCTGTTTAGTTTTTAATTTCGTTACTAATAGTGTAGTTGAATAAATAAAGGTTTCGAGAGCGTAAAATATACGTATGTGTATATAAAAATAAAAACATGACACATAGGCGAGTTATAGAAAATTATTATAGAATATACGAATGATAAGATTGAAAAATTAAAAGATATTAGTTTAGTTTTATTCGTGGTAAAATATTAAAATTAAAACTTTTTAATTTTAAATGAATTAGTTTAATAATTAAAACCAATCGTTCTTAGTAATTATAACCCCATTCGTCCATGCATACAATGAGTACGATACATCTCAATCTACGGTTATTTATACGAATTTGCTTTCTATGGCAGTTTCATATTTCAATAACAATTTAGGGTTAAGTACAATAGAGAGGAAAAACACACGTGTACGTCACGTTCAATCCAATATTATAGTTTGTCATCGTTGAATTTTTATTCAAACCAAACCGAAATTTGAAATTAGAATATATACAAAATGAAAGCTGTGTTAAAAGACGAAGAGAACCCCATACCATTAGCATGTAGATGACTATTTTTACCACTGTAATAAATTTTGATAACTCTAGCTAGGGTTTGCCTAATCAAGCAATCATTCCCGGTTCTAAGCGTGGAACTGCAAAATTAACCTTATTTAGAATTCTACTAAAGAAAACCCTAATGGGAAAAGCATTTACTTTAGAATTCAACTATGAAAATTAAATTAGGAGGAAACATACGTACGTAGGGGAAATGTGTAACATCAAGAAAAGAAGCGAATTTTCCGGTTGAGGATGAATAGGGAGTAAAAGAACCAGCTGAAATACCTCCACGTGGCAAGATATGATCCGTCAGATCGAAAAGCGCCCGGTCGATCATCCCCGATGCGAGTCGGTAGAGAGAGAAAGAAGGGGTATAGAGAGAAAGAGAGAGAGGTTTCTTGGCGGAGTTCTTTTAGTTCATAAGGACAGAACCAGAAGGGTTCTGCTCAGACAAAGGAGAAGCGAGAAAAAGCTTTTTCACTTTGATTTCATAGAATCTGCAACCAAATCTCAGAGATAGAGAGAGAGACTTAAATTCTGAGAGCAGAGCAGATGAGAGAGAAAGCGTTATGGCGGCGTTGCAGAAATTAGAGAAAGATTAACCACACACATCTCTTATTCTCCTTCTTCTTCCTTCTTCCTTCTTCTAGTTTTTGTTACTAAATTGCTTGTTTACTGTAACTAAGAACACAAACACAACCTTTCGAGAGAGAGAGAGAGAGAGAGAGCAACGAAACCCTTGATTAGTTTCGGCTCAAAGACAGCTTGAAGCACGAGAACAACGAGAATCCATGAAGGAGAAGGCTAAGTTTAGTGGGAGCAAATGCATCGGAATTAACCAATTCCGGGTCTCATGGTAATTAGGGTTTTGTGAATTATGGATATTGCTTCTCCAAGATTAGGGTTAGATTGTCGGAAATGGCAGGGATTTTCTCGTTAGGATCAGGAGGAAACGAAGAAGAAGAACAACAAAAGACTTGGCTTTGGTACAGAAACACAAACCCTAACGCCTCAAGCTCCAACAACCAGCAAATATGAACCACCCGCCGCAGCAGCAAATGTTCATGCAGCAGCAGCAGCAAAGCCTGGATCTTTATCCGGACGGTCAAATCGACCACTCCGACTTGGCCACGTCATCAAGATCTGTGATGATAAGCTGTCGGGACTGTGGCAACCAAGCCAAGAAGGGGTGCGCACACATGCGGTGCAGGACCTGTTGCAAGAGCCGTGGCTTCGACTGTCCCACCCACGTGAGGAGCACATGGGTCCCCGTCGCTAGACGCCGCGAGCGCCAGCAGCAGTTGGGGGGGGGGGAGGGGGAGCCAATATCCCGAAACGTCCCAGAGACACCCCCTCGACAGGTTTAGTTTTCGTCTAACCATCTTCAATCTGCTTATAATCCAGATCTAAAGTAGATTGATCATGTGAAAGTTCCAACGTAGTACGTCTGGTTTTTTCCAATGAACTTACACAAACATGTCATCAAAGACATGATCTGAACCTACGACCATCACCAAGACTTGCTTAGAGCTAGAAAGGCAACTCGATAAGATGAATGTTTGGTTGTGATTAATTGTGTTAGGGACGTTAGATATGGGAGAGGCGGCTTTTCCGGCGGAAGTGAACTCGGAAGCGGTTTTCCGGTGCGTGAGAATGAGCGGAATCGACGACGGAGATGGCCAATACGCTTACCAGACGGCGGTGAACATAAGCGGTCACGTCTTCAAGGGAATTCTCTACGACCAGGGCCCAGAAAGCAGCCACAACATAAGCGGCGGCAGTGCCGGCAGCGACCACCAGAGCTCCTCCGCAGGAAATCCATTGAATCCGGCGGCAGCCGCCGGAGGAGCTTCTTCCGGCCACGCCGTGGGACCCTCGCCAATGTTTGTGGACCCTTCTGCTTATTACAACCCGGGTAACCTAAGCATGTTCACGCCTGCAGGTACGCAATTCTATCATCACAACCCAAGATCTTGATGATATCCAATAACGTTTCAAGTTTACTGAAATTGAATTTTTCAGTGTGTAATGTTTTTTTATTTACCCCCCCGCGATGTAAAACTTTGGTACGGTGATACTCGATGTAAGCATGAGGAGCTTATAAAACTTGGTCAACCAAGGTCAACCAAAATGCGAGAGATCTTCGCTTGTTAACTTGTTGTTAATCTTTTTCCCCTTAAATCAAATCAATATATACTTCATGTCCAAATATAAGCTAGATTCAAATACACATGTATATACTAATCATGTATAGAGAGAGTACGTATAGTACTAATGTAGATGTTATAATATATTTTACGTGTACACACACAATATATATATATATATATATATATATGTATATATAAAAGTTTTTGTTTCTCGATAGGTTTGATACTTGCGTAAAGCATTTTCCATGTTTTTTTGCTGAAGTCTACGTACCAGTTGCTTCTCCGATTGGACAAACCTTGAGAAGTCTTTTTGTAAGACAAACTATAATGTGTAAATCTTGATATCGCCCGTTGCCTCCTTGCAAAACTTCGCAATTCACATTTTTGATAATTTAAAATAATTTTATAATATGCACATCCAATTTAAACTACTAGTCGAATTAACAATTATGTGAAAATTTTCACATTTTTTAAAAGGTAATTTTTTTCAAAAGTTCATATTTGTTTGCACACTTTAATGTTCCAATCTTTTATTTGTGTTTTCAATTTGGTCGGATCTTTTTCGTGGTTTCAAATTCACTTAGCAGATAAAAAATTTGGTCGTATCCAACAATATATGTTATTTACCCGTGAATAAATGAATCAGCGACTAACCATTTCTTTTAAATATACTTAATGGCGCATTTATCTAATACAAGTTTTTAATATCGCAAAAAAAAATAAATCAGATTCCTTATATTTGTGCGTGTGTTTGCACGAAAAAAATAGAAAAAACGTGAGAAAATCGAATTAGTTAAATCTTTTTATTCCCGCAAACGACGTGAAGTGTGCATATGGGTGATTAAAAACTCTAATAGAAAATCAAGAATATTATCTTTTTTGTCGTATGGTCCAAAGTACTTGTCCATTGTGCAGGTCTATTATTAATCTCACCTCTCTCAGAGTGCAATGGTGATATAAGAAAAACCCAATATATATATATATATGTGTATATATATGTTTTTTAAAAAAAGTCAATCTAAGATCTATAGAAAATGGGCATTTTCGAAAACAAAATAAATTCGTTGGTTATTGTAAATATATTCCAGTCTGTAACGTAACGATGCCTATATGATTAGAGCTTTGGCTAGACAGAGTAATCCAAATAAATGCCGATTCATTTGTTACTTTTATTGCCGAAAAAGAAAACCATATCCTTCTCTTTAAACCATAAAATTAAAAGCGCCCCAGAAAATAAAGAATTACATTAATTAAATATTATTTCTCCAATGTTTTATTTTATTTCTATAACAACAAGGTAAAAATACCCATGTGCATGTATATATATATATATATATATTGAATTTTGTCTCAGATTTTGTTGTCTTTTCGTTTCGTGATGATAATGAAGAAAAAGACAAAGGCAACCCCCCAAGACTTAAAAACACCAATTGGAAGTATAAGACAACTGTAAGAAGATTAAACGCCATGGGACAAGTTACTCACATACCACAAAAGAAACATTTGCTAATCATTAATTCGACCAAATTTATCAATCAATATGTATATGTGTTTATACATATATATATATATATGTGTGTATGCATCTATATATACATATACGGCTAAAGAAACGACGATAAGGGGGAGATAAAGAACCTGGGTTTAACAAAAGCTTTGGCCCTCGGAATGTGCCTTGACTCGCAAGTCATCGATTTGATCTTAAAAGGAAGAACACAACCCAGACACAACAGCTTCAAGCTAGTTGAATCTCAGTTCAACAAAACATAACTACAGAGAGAGAGAGGGAGAGAGATTTAATGGAGTGAGGAATGTTGCAGAGGATGGATATAAGGGGGGAAAGGAATGGTGGTGGATATCATGTAACACAAAAGCTGAGTGAGGAGAAGACAAAAGATATCTAGGGTTTTGTATTAACAAGTAATAGGGTGGGGATGAAATTCGGCAGTGATGCAGTGACCTATATAATGTGTGTGCTGTGCCCATCTTTCAGCTTTTCTCCCTTCTTCTTTTCCCCTTTTTTTTTTTTTTTTGTTCCTTTGGACACACATATATACACCTTTGTGCTTACATCCACATGTGTGTATGTATGCGTGTATATGTCTGTATATAACACATATATGCTTGAGTGGTCCTAACACACAATTGCTGAACAAAATCCTGACTTCTCACTTCCAAGAACCAAGTTGCGTCCTTTGCTTCAATTCTTGAACATATATTTCTTTTTTGTTAAAGAATTCTTGAACATATATTGTGTATATATACATATATATATATATATGTACCTATATATTCAATAACCAAGATGACCCGTGGCTCATTCCGAATACTTCACATGTTATTAAAGAGATTAATCTCCGTTAATATCTCCCATGTTTCAATGGCGAAAACACACTGTTGCGTATAAAACAAGAGAATACAGATTGAAAAAAAAACCCTTATGGAGCTTTTGGAAAGTTCTGTAAGAAAAGACAGGAAATCACTCATAATGGCGGCAAACTACATTCTCTTGACAGAACTAAAAACGAAAACATTTGGATCGATTGTATAATAAAACTATACTCTCTTGATTCCGAGGAGGAGGAGGAGAAGCCTGAAGTAATCGGCGCCGATAGCCAGTTGGAGGAAAGCGAGCTTGAACTTGTTCCATGGAGGGTACCTCGGCTCTATCTCCACCTTCAAGCTTCCTTCCATTACCGCCTTCTCGTGGCTGAAGCATTCGAACGAGTATTTCCCGTGGTACCGCCCCATCCCGCTCGGTCCGACCCCTCCAAATGGCAATGCATCACACATATACTGCAGCAGAATCAACATTGGTAATTAGAAAAGAACGTAGAAAAGAAGATTTCCGATATGAATTCTGACATATGCTAAGAGATGTGATCGTATACCTTCAAAATACAGTCTCATTTAATAAAAATACGGTGGCATGTATATACGTATATATACCTGAACCATGACGTCGTTGAACGTAACGCTTCCAGACGAGGTTTCTGACAAGATTCTGGTTTTTAGGTTCTCGTCTTTGGTGAATGCATAGATGGCCAGAGGTTTCGGAATTGACTTGATTAACTCTATGCTCTCTTTGATGTCATTTAACTTCGTTACCAACAAAAACATACGATCAGATTCTTGTAAAAATAAGGTGTATATATTATCGGAAGAATAGGACCGAAGATTTCTTCTGTCATAACCTCCGAATCAAGAGGAGGATCCAACAAGATTGTCGGCTCTATGTACCTGTCAAGCATGCATACATATATTTTATATCTTTTGATCTTTTCTCGGTATTCAGTTATAGATTTCGTGCAATGCAAGAAACAGAAAACGGTTCGGGGAAGATAGGTTACAGCTTCTCTTCGTCTGTGGTACCGCCGTGAATGATCGAAGCTTTAACCCGAGGATCGTCAAGGTAGCGAGACAACCTCTGAAAGTGTTGCTTATTGACAATCCTTGAGAGACATCCACAGTTTTTCGGATTCTCCCCAAAGAACGTCTTGATCGTTTTCTTGAGCATATCAATCTGTGACAAATAACCAGAAACTGAGTAGAAGGAACCCTAATCTTACACGAAAAAAGTTTCAGAATCTCAGGATGAATTTTCATAAGCTGTGCATATATACATGCATACAATACCAGAGATGATGCAAATCTTTTTTCGACGATAACATAATCGACACAAATACAAGCTTGTCCACCGCAAGAACCCCATTTCCCTCCGGCGATCCTCTTCACAGCGACCTTGAATCCGATTATGGATCAGAACCCAACACGAAGAAACAGTTTTCGAGATTCGTTAAACTTGGGAAATTTTGATTGAAGAAACAGACCTTGATGTCCCCTGAGATGGAGTGCTCATCAAGAATGGTAGGACATTTTCCACCGAGCTCCAATGTCACAGGAGTTAGATGCTCTGCAGCTGCAGACATCACGATCCTCCCCACCTTCGGACCACCTGATGCATTTACACCAACCATAAACCCTAAAACCCTAACGAAACTGATAAGCATGAAAAAAGGTAATCAGACGGGGAAAGAAAGGAGTACCTGTGAAGAAAATCTTGTCCCATTTATGCTGCAAGACGATGGCAGCGACATCGGGTCCACCTTCGATGACTTTAATGGCTTTGGAGTCTAAGTAAGATGGGATTGTCTTGGCGAGGAAGGAACTGTCGACCTGCTGATATTGCTCCAATGAGAGGGTCCAAACACAGAGCTGATCCCAGTGACGCAAATTCACAAACTTGTTACATTTTTTATAGGCATGAAATTGAAAACATAAGATTATCTGAAAAGAATCGAATCATTACAGATTGGGAAATTCCAACAGGAGAATATGAGAACCGTTCCGAATGGTTCAGACACCACTTTCCCCTTTGCCGGGAAGAAAAGCAGAGGAAGGTTGCTCTGTTTTTTTTTTTTTTGGTCACCCATCAAAAAAATCAAAGTCAGATAACGAAAAGGGGGAAACCCCAAGAAAGAGATTAAGAATTTGAATTCATAAAATGAAAAAAGTCGGCACCTTTTTGGGCGAGGCCCATTTGTCGAGAGATTTCAAAGCAGTGGAAGCTGCGTTTTGGACAACTCCGATCTCATCTCTGTAAGCTTCGGTGCTGTGTTTCCCCAAATCTTGGAACAGAGCAGTGCAGATCTTGTCCCCGTTGTCGTGAATCATCTCCAGTATGGCTCTGATCTGTGTTTTTCGCCACGTCAGGCTTCTCGTTCTCCCGCTCTCGAACGTCTCTCTCAGCTCTCCCAAGCTCTGCTCCACCATCTCCTTCTCCGCTTCCATGGCCTCTCTCTCTCTCTCTCTCTCTCTCTCTCTCTCTCGTGTTTTTTCTTTCACTGACACAGAGCAGAAGCAACTCCAGGAAGCAAGGGAAAGTGGTTGCTTTTTTTAGAAGGGAAAACGAAAAGTATATTTATTTATACACCCTTTCAGGTAACCATCAATGCAGCGACGTGGACCGACGTATAATAATTTGGCCAAATTTGTAGAAATGAAATAACATGTCAAAACGGTGTGTGTGTATATATATATGTGTATATATTTGATTGATCCTCCTACGTAGATCATGTATTATACATATTTTTTACGTGTACTACAAATCGGATGTGATTAGAGGGTCAATTTAGTACGAGGTCCGAAATCTACCCAAAAATATATCGGATTTCAGATTAAATTTTTATGTCCGAACAAAATCGGATTTTTGGATCAGATTCAATTCGGTTTTCGCATCCGATTCGGATAAAACCTAATATTTTTTAAAAATAATTAAAAAAGAAAAATAAAATTATAAAGAAATTGAGTGGCTCGGTCCGATCTGATCCGAAATTTATAAGATTGAATTTCGAGTTTGACTATATAGACCCAAAAAAATCATGTCGTCACGAATTCAAAACCCTCATACTGAATGTGGATTCGAACCGGACGCGACCGATCGATACCCGAATGCTGACATATATATGTTCATTTTATTAAGTTTGTAAATGAAAAAAAAAATGTATTGATTATTTCTATATGTGTTGAATAAGGGAGCAGCCAATTGGACCGTCGAAATTAAATAGGCAGCATAAAATATCTTATCTCTGTCCATATTGAATTAAATACTTTGGGTGGATTTTTCTACGTAGAGATGACAAGTAAGGCAGGCATTTAATGAATGTCACGGTCCAACTTCTAACCTAACCGGTTCGGACTGTGTCACATGACTGTAGTCACAGTACATTGAATTTTGTGTTGTTTATAGTTATAGTTTTCTAAAAAACTTTTCACTACTTTATAAGGATATTTTTTTATAAAAAAAACATGTCAAAAATAGGTTATCTTGTAGTTTCGGAGACTTTGAATAAATATTTTGAGTTTTGGTTATATCTTATTTCGTTTATTTCTCTAATTTGTATATACATACAATTTTATATCATAGTTTTATCGACGGTAATATTTCGGTGTTGACGATCATGGAGAGTAATTGTCAATGCGGACGGGTATGGATAAAAAACGATTTCTAGTAGATTTTTTGATAAGAGAAATAGGGTGATGAATGACGTACTCAAATGGGAAAGATGTGGGGATTATATAGATACGAGATTATACAGTAAAAAACAATTTAAATAAATTGATTGAACTGTTTATCTCATTTTTTAACTATCTATTTCGAAAGAATTTCAAAATTAAACATATTCGTTTTGAAATAGTCTAACGATGAAAGAATTCATGATATATGTGAATGAGTCATGTTTGATGGAGATAATTTCAATTTTTTTTATAACGTTTTCAGAGCATTACATTGACAAAAAAGTGTAATATACCAATATGATAGCAAACATTTAATTTTTTAATCACTTTAAAATTATATATATATATATATATATATATATATATTCACGTGCATAAATTTTGTATGGGGAGTAACACTTATCTAGTCAATTCATCACCGTATTATTCTATTCATGTACGCATGAGCATAATATATGTTTACTGATTTATATCAAGTTCCAACTAATCATCAAATTGTTGAATTTCTGATGTATTATTACATATTTATCGGTACGTCAATCGAATATTATTACATGCAAAAGTCAATTTATACGGTCTGCGTTGTCTACATATGAATATCGTTTATCGAAATCGATTGGGTACGATATTGTATTGGTCCGTCAAATAAATTAAATGTGATCGGTGTGCGATGTTATGCTTGAATCACTCAACTTCCAACCATATAACATTAATTTTAATTTCCTGTATTGGTCCGTCAAATAAATAAAATATCACCAAACTTAGGGATATTTATTCTAACTAAGATCATTTTTTAATCTTATACAAAAAAAAAAAGATAATTTATCTTAAAACGAAATAACTTCTAATGTCAAGGAGCAAAACACTAAATAAAAAGGGGTGTTCCGAGAATCGAACTCGGGACCTCTCGCACCCGAAGCGAGAATCATACCACTAGACCAAACACCCTGATTCAGTACGTTAGGAATATTAATATATTTAAATATATTATACCATGAAATAAGTTTGAAAACCATACAAAAATATTTTTAAATAATATAAATAGAAGTAACGTATTTGTTCGGAGGAATATAATTTATGGAGGTTTATGTGACATGCTTTCTCCACTCGTCACGTGGGTCTCATTTTGAATTTCTTCTATTGTGCTTCCACCGACGGTCGGTGGGCCCACGTTTTGTATCCATAAAAAGTTTTCTGTTATTAGTTTATAAGAAGCATTTATAATTATCTTTCATCGGGATATATATATAATTTGACATGTTTTTAATACAGCAAAATTTTAATTACTCAATAAACTTCACGATTCTGAAATCAAAACTGATATTTGGTTTTCGTGATTGCAATGTATATTGTTGAAGCAGAAATCTATAAATAATATGTGTTCATAAATATAATCTCTAAATATATCAATTGAAAAACGATATTGTTGAAGCAGACAAAAAAAAAAAATCAAATCAGTGGAACATAAATTTTGTTTACGGCAATAAAGTTTAGAAATCCGTGGGGAAAAAAAACATGCACTGTATAAGCCATGCATTGATAGCAATATAAAAATATAAAAAAGTTTGAGATTAACAGAAAAATAATCACTTAGGGGAAAAAAAAAGCTTCAACATACCATATTTTATGTAAACAAATCTCACATAAATATCTACATTTTATAAAATATACTAAATAAAGACTTCAATTTTTCATTTAATTTAATTAATACATTAAATATTACAATATTCTAACTTTATATCTCGAAATATTTTAAATAAATATCTTAATTCATAAAAATGATATAGTACAGATTCTAAACATGATGTATCAATTATGTTAATTTTTAAAATAAAAATAAAATTCACAAAATCAATGACAAGTTTTAACTCTATTGACGGTATAAAAGAACAAATTGACATTGTATATAACTCTGATTTTGTGAATTAAAATATCAACATAAACATTTTTAATATTTAAAATATTAATTATGTAAAATTAAAAAATTTAACATTTATTTGATATATCTCATAAAGGTAAATATTTATATGCGAACTTACTTTTTATAGACAAACATAAAAAAAGATGCATTTCGGAACCCAAAGGAGCTCGAGTACGGAATCGAGTACCCAAACCCTAGTCCTTTGATTTAAGGAACTTAGACATGTAACACAACAGAAACACGTAATAAATATCTCATACAAATATCAGACCGCAAGATTCCACAACAAGAACCAAAATTTAACGATAGAAACAAGAAAAACTTTAAGACAATTAGTCCATCCTCTCCTGCATTGTGCATAAAAGCCAAAGAATGCAATGTTCATTAGTTTACAACAAAATTTTCTCACAATAGCTTGAAGTGAAAGAGCACAAGGCATTATATAGGTCTCGGACTTACAGATCTTGTTGAAGGCAACAATGTCACAGCTCTGGACGTATTCGTTGATCGGCTCGACGGTCAGCCGCTCCTCGATGAGAGTGTCAACCGACACAAGGTCGTCGACAATGGTGAGCATTATCTGCAACTTCTTGATTCCGTAACCAACGGGTACAAGCTTTGCTGTTAAACAAACAAGAACCCGACATGTTAAGATCCACCCGACACAAAAAAGAAGTGAAGGTTCGGGAAGGAAGTAAAGATTCGGGCGAAACCCACATGCTCCCCAGAGTAATCCTTCCATCTCAACGCTTCTCACGGCTTCCTCGAGCTTCTTCATGTCGGTTTCATCATCCCACGGCTTGACGTCCAAAAGAACTGACGACTTGCCAGCTGATAAGGAAATCCAAACAATAAACACTCCATTACTCTAGAACCATGAATCAAGAAAATAGAGTAGACTCTGAGAGATCTGTATATAGATACTGAAAGAGAATTGATGACTAACATTCCTTCTTCTTTCCAGATGCCTTCACAGCAGCTGCACGCTCCTCGGCAGCTTTCTTTTCCTCCTCGGTCTCCTCCCCGAAAAGGTCAACATCGTCATCATCCTCATCCTCATCAGCAGCAGCACCCTACAATTAGATGAATACAAAAACATAAATGATGTTCAATGTTCACAGAAAAATAATTAAAAGCATGGCTCTCGACAACTTCCAAACATATGCAAAATATGATGCAGAATCTGACCAGACTGATACCAAAACCAATTGAATACCTTAGAGTCCTCTGCCGGGGGAGTAGCAACAGCCTCTTCAGTGATGGGAGCAAAGCCCTCGACAGTGACACCACTCCCTTCAGCAGACACACCTCTGAGAATGGAAATCATGAGTTAAGAGACAGAGACAAGCATACGGATAATGAATTCAAACAATCCAAAACTCGAAATGGAAACAATGAGTTAAGACATAAAGACAAGATACAGATAATGTGTCCAAACAACACAATCAAACTATTCAAAACCCCAAAAAAGGGGAACAATAAAAAGGAATCAGGACTTACGAGATCCTCAAAAGAGCATCAATGTGGTTGTACCAACGGGCGGCATTCACGTACTCGGAAGTCGGAGGTTTTGAGAGAGCAGTGTAGACAGCGAGATCATCCTTTGAAGCCTGGTACCTATAATCATACAAACAAACGATTAGCCAATACAACCCATCAAAATCTCCAACATATACAATATGCACCTAAGCTTCTTTATCATCCTAAGAAGAATACGGTATTGATCTAATCGGTATTCCTCATCAATAACGATCTATGACATTAGCTTAAGAGGAAGAAGAGAAAGGGGGAAATGAGAATCTCACCCGGTGATGTAACTGCGAGTGAGCAGATACTCGTCAAGATTCTTCAATCCAGAAGCCGAGTTGAGGTTAGCGAACGACACCGCCATTGTTGATGTAGCTCGGAGGTTGTTTCTGAAAAGACAATTCCAGACAAAATCCTCCGTTACAGAAACCGGATCAAAGCCCAGGAAAAAGTGCAACCCCACAGTTGATTCATGAACAAAACTACACAGAGACACAGAGGGGAATCGAGATCGGAACCTGATGAATTTGGCGCCGGAGAGAGAGAGATGGAAAGCACACGAGAGGCAGGGAAAGAACGTAATGAAAAATTAGGGGCCTTTATTCGAAGCGTCTAGGGTTTCTGTTATGACCGTTCGATTACTGAATTATGATCTGACGGTGCAAAATGCGTAGATCCCAGTTGTTATTTTTTGGGCCGAGCATCCGTCCTAGTTGGGCCTATATGGTTAATTAATTTTGGGCTATTTGACTAGGCTCTGTTTAAAAATTGGACCTAAGCCCTCGTATTATATATATTCATAAACATATGGGTATATAAATACAATATGTGTTTTGTTATTTTCTGACGCATTTATTTAATATTTTAAAAAATAGATATCAATCTACCGTAATAGTAATTTAAATTTCTTATCGTATAATAGAAAAGATTTTATTCATAAATGACTTGCGGCAGAAGAAACGACAGTAAGTACATAAGATATTTGATATTATCAATATGCCCCAATTATAGTAACCACACTATAAAACGTGCCATTAAAACTCAACATTTTTTCTTGTCAAATTTTACATATTATATTTTATATCCACAGTAATTAATTAATAGTCACTATCACTAAACCCATTAATTAATTATTAATCAATCGGACCCACCGAAAGTCGAAAAATCATAAACAATTCGGAAATTTCGGTCCAAATTATTTCGGTTCAATTTTTACATAATAAAATTATAGCCAAACGGTTATATTTTTTTATTTATTCGGTTCGGTTTTAGATCGGTAAAACCCTAATAATCGTTCGGTTAACCACGGTTATTCGGTTATTAATCGAATTAGACCGAACCTGAACAGTTATTCAACTTACTCAACCATTTGGTTAATCGTTTGATTAACTGCTTTTATTTGATTTGATTCGATTCGGTTATCCAATTAATAACCGAAATTGTGACCCTATGTGTGTCCAAACCCAAAGCCAAGTCTTGGATCCTTGTTCTCGTGCTCGACCAGTGTTACGTCATCATGACATCAGTTAACGTAATAACGTCAACAATAATTATAGATATTATTTTTTTGTGATTTAAAGCTCGATGGCGGGGCCCATGAAGTGTAGAGCGGTACGGACGCCGGAAAGAGACGGTGCTGGGGGAAGTTGACGGCGGAGCCAGTGAACTGTACGTCAATCGCCGCCGTCGTCTCCGATTCGCCAGAGAGGTTCTCCGGTCTTGAGTGGGCGCCGGAATCCGATTCATCGCCGCGGGTAAACACTCGTTTCTGGATGATTAGATGATTAGAAAAATGATTATTATTACCAAAAAAAGTAAATTGATGATTATATTCGCATATACGTTTATGTTAATCAATTTATCACTCGAACGACCATGTGTTTGATTCAGATATACGTTTTGAAAAATCGAGGTATTAATTTATCGGGAATATGATTATAAAACTGATATTAATTCAATTAATTTTATTAGTTTAAATATATAAATAAGAATAATATTATTTTTTTATTTTCAAGAAAAATATCAAATCATTTTTCTAATATAGGACAAAGGTGGGACAGTATAATGAGATGGATACAATATGGGCTTGGGTTTGGGCTTTTATTGGCATTTATATTTGGGCTTATTCAAGGCCTTAAAATATATATATATATTTTTCCCTATTAACGACCTATGGATAAAGAAGCAAATACATTTTAAATGTGACCACAATATTCCAAAAAAAAAAAAAAGAGGAACAAAACAAAGCTGCGGTCCAATTGGACTGATGTCCATGGAACCAAAAAAACTATATTCGTTATTTTATTTTATTTTTTAAAAATTGACTGTATTTTTCATAGAGGTGGGTCCAAATTTGACGGGAAATCAAATTCGACATGCCACTTTTATCATTGTTTTCTGTTTGCTAGATGAAAGCAACAGCATTGTTCTTTCTTCAAAAAACGTCGATGTAAGAGCCATAATATATATATATATATATACGATATATAAATATATATATATATATATATATAAAAGTGATAAGGTACATTTGAATTTTAAAACCGCCTAATAAAAGCATGGTTGGGTGAAAATTAAATGTTTATATAACTATTTTTATTTTGGGACTTTGCCTCGACATTATTATGGTTCGGAACAACAAAATTTCATTATATTACGGAAGAAAGACAAATCGTACCAAAGTTTCGTTTTGATATGCGAATCTTTCATATTCTTTATATCCAAACACATTAGAAATTCGGAGTGATTAATGGGCGTTGTTCCTTTTTTGGATGGAAATAATGATCAATATGTTAAAAAAAGGATGGATATTCCAATTTGAGTAATAAAATATGTTTCGGAACGGAAGTGTGTCCAAATGAATTCAATCTAGAAATTTATTAGATATAATTTTTGAAAATTTTCAAAAAATACATCAAATTTGAATTTTTAATTGGTTAAAAATATATAAAATATAGAAATCTTTACAAAATGCCAAAAAATGCACTAACTTTCTCAAATCCCTATACTAACAATGTGTTTTTTCAAGTTTGTATATTAAAACATATTTTGAAGAGATGACATGTTTTTTTCTTATATATACATATATATAATTTTTAAACCAAATTAAATAAATTTGATAAAAAAATATAAAACGTATAAAAAACGAATTAAAACCCCGCTCATTAAGATTCAACGTAAAAATAATATATATCCAAAATAATGTCCAATCCTAACCACTATGATTTGGTCATATATAACTATTATCGAATCCCCTAACGAAATATGTTTAGAAGCATTGGAAAACGTAACAATTTATTAGATGATGATGAATCGTGGCAAGTACTAATGCAGATGCCCTTATCTATTAGCAATGAAACTTATATATGCACGCACATATATACATATATGTTACAATTAAATACATATTGGCTTGATCTATTGAATGTAACAAGAAGCGACAAGTGGGGTCTCTTTTGTTTTGGTATATTTGAACAACTTATAATTAATATTTTTTTAATTAAATGATTTTTTTTACAAATTTATGTCAATTTTTATGGGGTTTTGGCATGAATAAAAATAATCAAAGGGTTTGCCGAAAGATTGCGGTAGAATCAATCATTTTGTCAAACCATTGAATTTAATAGTTCAGTTTCTTCGGGCAAAAGTGAAAAAGTGAGAAACCAACTCAATTAATGTCTGAAAATAAGGAGAGATGTGGACCCACCAAACCTAAAATGAAAGGATGACAAATAAACTCGTATATAAAAAAATATATATATGTAAATAGATTTGGCAATTTACTTTTGTTATTTCATGCAAATTAATTTAATTTATGGATGTTGACTATATCCGTAGTGGAAAACAAAATGAAAACAATTTCTTTTGTTATAATTTTTATTTTGTAAGAATTCAATTACTTTACTTAGAAAAAAAACAAATTTATACATAATTCGTTTAGAAAATAGCTTCGTTTAAGGATTATAATATTTTATCTGATTTTATATTTCCCTATTTTAAATTAAAATGTCGAAACCTAATTGTGATTGCTATTTTATTATTTTTTCAGATATATTGCCATTAGTATATTTTTTTCATTTCCCAATGAATTTTTCATATCTATGCATCTTCCACTTCGACAAGTATGTGACCAATATCTGCATACATACATATATACGTAATACAAATACATATACATATATACGTACATTTCATAAAAAAAACATATATACATGTATGTGAGCACCACCGAGTGTACATGGCACGTGCCTGGATTTAATTACCCGGTAAATGTTCTATTAGTGGGCCCAACCCAACCAAGCCCAAATGAGATGAAATTTTAAAAAATTATTTTAATATTGTTTTCGATTATTAAAAGGCTAAAAAGATTAAGGAGCCCGTGAAATTAGGTAATTAATTAATTAATTAATTAATTTAAATGAAGTCTTAACGTTCAACTTAAGTTTAAAAACAAAGAAAAAAAGCCTGCGAGCACTCTGACACTCGCCTCAATGATTCGTCCCATACTCCTCAGAAAGTTCGCCCGACCTTATTTTACTAACCACAAATAAAAACCACACCGATCGCATATAATTAATTAGAAATAATTAAGATGATTATTTGGAATCCCGTATATAAAATATAATAGAACACTCATTTTTAATTAAACCCAACTAGATCTAAAATAAATCGAATAAATATATTCTTTTAAAAATCGAATATATATATGTGGTTAAAATGGTATGATTAGAATAAATCATCACAACATGTATATGTAATTCATATTATCGCATAGAAAAGAAATTTAATTATGAAACTATAATTAAAATTACTAATCAAACCAAAATCTGGTTTTATACACACATGTAGACAAATTTTAGAATTGCAATTATTTTATAGATAATGAAATAGCAAAAGTATTAGGACAAAACCAAAACAAACAAAAGGTATTAAGTACGAATTAAAAAAGTTTAAAAAATGACAAGAGGAACCAAAATATTTCCCAATTGGAACTTTATCTCTCTTAAAAGTTAAAACACATTAATAGCAGATAATTAATTAATGGTTTTTTTAATCACTTTTTTTTTATAAAAAAAAAATTGCCATGGAAGCGGAAGTAAAGGGTTTCTCTTCCGTTTATGAATATAGCTTTTACTCATTTTGCTCACTGGACTGTAATTTTGCTCTCCAGAGCCACGCCCATGGAGTCATCTCTCTCTTCTTCTTCCTCTTCTTCCTCTTCTTCATATTAGCCTTTTTCTTCTTCTTTACGTTTTCATTTCGAGCGAACAGTTTTCCCTTTTCGTTTGCGGCGAATCCATGGCCATTAGGGTATTGATTCTGTTCCTTTTCATGGTGGTCCACGCGCCGCCGTTGCTGTCACGCGCAGACGACTTTCAGGCGGAGATCGACGCCCTCACGGCCTTCAAGCTCAACCTCCAAGACCCACTTGGCGCGTTGCACCAACCGCCGCGTCACCGAGATCCGTCTCCCTCGTCTCCAACTCTCCGGCAGAATCTCAGACCGAATCTCCGGCCTCCGCATGCTCCGGAAACTCAGCCTCCGCTCCAACTCCTTCAATGGCACCATCCCTGCTTCACTCGCTTACTGCACGCGCCTACTCGCCCTTTTCCTCCAGTACAACTCGCTTTCCGGGAATCTTCCTCCGGGGATGGGTAACCTCACCGCGCTCGAGGTCTTCAACGTCGCCGGAAACCGCCTCTCCGGCGAGATCTCCGTCGGCTTGCCCACAAGCCTCAAGTTCCTGGACCTTTCGTCTAACACCTTCTCTGGTCAGATTCCGAGTGGAATCGCTAACCTGACTCAGCTTCAGCTCATCAACCTCTCGTACAATCAGTTCTCCGGCCAGATTCCGGCGAGCTTCGGAGAGTTCCAGAGCCTTCAGTACCTCTGGCTCGATTCCAACCTCTTGCAAGGGACCCTTCCATCGGCGATATCGAACTGTTCCTCCATTGTTCACTTGAGCGCGTCGGAGAACGCGCTCGGCGGAGTGATCCCCGCGGCGATCGGAGCTCTCCCCAACCTCCAGGTCCTATCTCTCTCCGACAACAATCTCTCCGGTAGAGTGCCGTTTTCTCTATTCTGCAACACATCACTTAAGATCGTTCAGTTAGGTTCCAATGCTTTCTCCGACATCGTCCGGCCGGAGACATCTGTCTGTCGTACCGATTTGCAGGTGTTGGATCTCCGGGAGAATAGGATTTCCGGCGGGTTCCCGGGGTGGTTAACGAACATTCAGTCACTGTCTGATTTAGATATTTCTGGGAACTTGTTCTTGGGTCGGATTCCTTCTGAGATTGGGAACTTGACGACGTTACAAGAACTGAAAATGGCTAATAATTCTCTGACAGGTGAGATTCCTGTCGAGATCAAGCAATGTAGCTCTCTGAGCGTGCTCGATCTGGAAGGAAACAGGCTAACAGGGAAGATTCCGGAGTTCCTGGGTTACATGAAAGCGTTAAAGGTTTTGTCTCTCGGCAGAAACAGCTTCTCTGGTTCTGTCCCTTCCTCAATGGCGAATCTTCAGCTGTTGAATGAGCTAAACTTCGGCGAAAACAGCTTAAACGGGAGCTTTCCCATCGAGCTCACGGTCCTGACCAATCTGACTGTGTTGGATCTCAGCCGAAACCGGTTCTCCGGGGAGATTCCTGTCAGTATCGGTAACCTGAGCAACATCAATGTGTTGAATCTGAGCGGAAATGGATTCACCGGAAACATTCCGGCAAGTGTAGGGAATCTGTTTAAGCTGACAGCTCTCGATTTGAGCAAGCAGAATCTATCTGGTGAGATTCCATTCGAGCTCTCTGGTTTGCCCAATTTGCAAGTGATTGCATTGCAGGAGAACAGCTTCTCTGGAGATGTGCCTGAAGGGTTCAGTAGCTTGGTTAGCTTAAGGCTTGTGAACCTTAGCTTGAACTCGTTCTCTGGTTCAATCCCGAAGACTTTCGGGTTCCTCCGGTCGTTGGTTGCGCTGGCATTGTCGGACAATCGCATCTCCGGTTCCATTCCCCCAGAAATCGGGAACTGCTCTGATCTTGAAGTTCTCGAGTTGAGATCGAATGCACTGACAGGTCATATTCCACCCGATCTCTCTCGTCTTTCACGCTTGGAGGTGCTCAATATCGGTGGCAACAACCTGTCGGGTGAAATCCCGGCAGATATCTCTGAATGCTCCTCTCTCAACTCGTTGTTGCTTGACCATAATCATCTGTCTGGAGATTTACCTGGATCACTTTCGAGATTATTGAACTTGACAAAGCTGGATCTTGCTGTCAATGACTTTACCGGGGAGATTGCGGTTAGCCTCGGGCTTATTTCCAACAACTTGGCGTACTTCAACGTCTCGGGCAATCACCTGAACGGGGAGATTCCAGATTCATTAGGTTCAAGGTTCAACAATCCGACGGCATTTTCCGGTAACCCTGCATTATGTGGGAAGCCACTGGACATGAAATGTGAGGGAAGTGTTGCAGAAGAGAGGAGAAGAAGAAAGAGGCTGATTCTGATGATAGTAGTGACCGCCATTGGAGCTTGCCTCTTATCGCTCTTCTGCTGTTTCTACATTTACACGCTCCTAAAATGGCGGAACAAGCTGCAGCAGAAGGCGGCCGGGGAGAAGAAACGTAGCCCGGCTAGGGCAAGCGCAGGAAGCAGAGTGAGGAGCAGCACCAGCACCGAGAATGGAGAGCCGAAGCTGGTGATGTTCAACAACAAGATCACGCTGGCTGAGACGGTGGAAGCGACTCGTAGGTTCGATGAAGAGAACGTTCTGAGCCGAACCCGATATGGGTTGCTGTTCAAAGCCACTTACAACGATGGAATGGTGCTCTCCATCCGACGTTTACCCGATTGTTCCCTCGATGAGAACATGTTCAGGAAAGAAGCCGAGTTTCTCGGGAGGGTCAAGCATCGAAACGTCACGGTCCTGAGGGGATATTACACAGGTCCACCTGATCTGAGGCTTCTGGTTTATGACTACATGCCCAATGGAAACTTAGCCACACTGCTTCAGGAAGCGTCTCATCAAGATGGTCATGTCCTGAACTGGCCAATGCGCCACCTCATCGCCCTCGGCATGGCACGAGGGCTTGCATTCCTCCATCAATCCAACATGGTAACCAAAAATTGAATCTTTCAACATTCAGATCATGCAGCTTTCATGGTGAAATCATGTAAAAGTTCAAACCTTTTTTGAACATCCACAGGTTCATGGAGACATCAAGCCGCAGAACGTACTCTTCGACGCAGATTTCGAAGCCCATTTATCAGATTTCGGTCTCGACCGTTTCACCGGGCCGACACCGTCGTCAGGGACGGCATCCAGTTCTGCAACCGTGGGAACACTCGGCTACGTGTCTCCGGAAGCGGCACTGACGGGAGATGTGACGAAAGAATCCGACGTGTACAGCTTCGGGATCGTATTGCTGGAGATTCTGACGGGGAAAAGGCCGGTGATGTTCACGGAACAGGACGAGGATATAGTGAAGTGGGTGAAGAGACAGTTGCAGAGAGGGCAGATCGTGGAGCTGTTGGAGCCGGGATTGTTGGAACTGGACCCGGAGTCGTCGGAGTGGGAAGAGTTCTTACTGGGGATCAAAGTAGGGTTACTGTGTACGGCGGCGGATCCGCTTGATCGTCCGACAATGTCGGATATTGTCTTCATGCTCGAAGGCTGTCGTGTGGGCCCCGATCTCCCTTCCTCCGCCGACCCCACTTCCCTCCCTTCTCCCGCTTGACCCCTTCTTTTTTTTCCGCGATTTTTTTTTTAATTTAGAAAAGTGATTAGCTTATTTAATGCTTGTTTGACTGTTGGAAAGTTGGAAATTTAAATTATTGATTGAATTGCACCCCTACCAATTTTTTTATTTTTATTATTTTTTTTTGGTGAATGGGCCTTGCCTTTGAGCGCATGAGTAGCCCGCGTAAATTGACACCATTTTCGAGCAAAAAGAAGAAAAAAAATCTTAGTATTGTGATAATTTGAAAATTAGCGTAACAATTGTAAGTCGAAGTTATCTATAAAATTTTGGTGATTTCGTATTTTATTATTTTAAATTGATTACGCATTACGAAAATATTTTTTACATTTGCTAAAAATTATAATTTTTTAAATTAATTAAATACTTATTTATTAACTTTATATATACATTATATTAATTAAAATTTTGTAAAAAAAACTCATTTTTCCCCAAAATATCAAATTCAGTTACTCAAATCTTTTTTTAAAATATCTAAAAATACGACATCAAATTTCAAATATTCATGACATTTAAATGCTTTTTATATTACAAATTGAATAAAATGCAATAATTAATAAAATATGTATGAGAAGAATGAAAGACATAAATGAGAAGTTGTGTTTTAATAAGTTAGAATGTGTCATCTTAAATCTTGCAAGAGCCGCGTGTGTGTGTATGAAGCATAGTGTGAGCAGTGGTGGGTGACACAAAGGGAAGGAGTAATATTCGGGGGGGGGGGGGCTGATGTTTGTCACGTGCCTCCATATATCCGTTGCTCGTGTCTATATTTTTCTTTTAAAGTCTTTCCAATAATGGCACAAAAAAAAGACTGTTCTGAAGCGGCTTCCCACGTGCCACCTGAGCATCTCCTGGATTTGCCACGTGCTATATACAAAGAGACTGACCAAGGGGCCCACACACTCCGGTCTTTGGACTTGGAAGATAAGAAAGTTTCAAATCGAATCAGACAACATTGGTATTTATCTGTTTGGATTTTGGTTGAAAGATTGGTTCTGTTATTTTGGTCACTCTGTAATTTCTCTAATTCGATCATTTCTATTATATTAATACTCCCTCTTTTTAGTTTTAAATATTGTTTTACCTTTAAACACACACACACACACACACATATATATATATATATAGAAAAGTATTTTATCTTATTAACTATGATAAAATATGGATAAATTTATAAAAATATCAGAAAATGCATAGAAAATCCAAAAATATCATTCATTTTAAAATAAAAAAAACTATCCTAAATCGTCATATAAAATTAAACGAAGGGAGTACTATAGAGTTGCACAAAAATGTATAAAATAAAATACCCAACACTAGTTGCCGGCCGTGACCGTTGCGTTTATATATCATTCCATTCCTCAATTATTTTATTTTTAAATCTTATTTCTTGGTTTTGGACCTGTTGGACTATTTTTATTGTGTTTTTCTAATAATTTTTGTGCATGTAATTAGTTACAAAAGAATTAAACTGAACAATAAGATCAAAAACCTTGCACGGAAATACAAAATATACTTGGATTAAAAGGTGTGTCAAACTAAAAAAAAAATGCAATATTTTAGGAATTAAAAGTAAAATCGAATAAGACAATGTCAATTTAAAAAACTCAAATCCTAAAGATTACCGTTGCTTAAAAACTTATTTATTCACTCAATAACACAATTACAAATTTGTCCTTTGGACTGCTTCTATTTCCATTTGGGTCAGCTTTATTGGTTTGGGCCTGAAGTAAGGCCCATCAATTCAACATCACTATTAATGGGCCAATCTAAGGCCCAAAACGCAGTTTATGATCCTCTTGCTTCAATATGTTATATATAATCTTATACTAAATGCTTCATGAAATCCACTTATTATTTTTCCTTTGTAAAAGGTAAAAGTCCACTCGTTCGTTTATAGTGTATGGTTTTCATTATTCTTCCAATAGATATTCAAAAATTTAATCATGAATTTTAATTATTTAGGTTTTCGTGATGATTATATATCTATGTTCATGATTTCCAGATTTTACTCGAAAAAATAAATATGCGAAAGAGTATTCACCCACATGATCGTCTCTGAGCCAATGGCACTCCTATATGGCCCAAGGACATATCAACACACATACACACATATATATATATAATATGTATATTTCTTTGGAAGCTATATTGAGGAATTATATACCATTATTAAATTGTTATGTTACGTGAAAAAAATCCACCAATCAACAGTAATTATACCACAATTTGTTTACCAACTTTCATGATTAGTAGAACTCATGTCACTTGCACGAATGCATTAGCCATTGGTGCCTTTTATTTAGCAAATTTTTTTTTTGAGGAGTCGTTAATTTCTCGAAAATATTTGTTTTAAAAGTGAAAAGTGCAACAATTAGACACATAAACTCCATTATATGATCTATTTCTCTGAATTTCCGAGATTAATCTGATTTAAAATATTGATTTGTTAATTTTATAGATATACAGAGCCAAATATATATATACACACACACACACACGCACGCACATATACACGTCTATTTTGTCGATATTTTTTGTTAAGAGTTTTTGGATGAATTAATCAAAATTAGCAACTATGTCATCAATAATAATTGGTGAATTGTTTTTTTTTGTCTTACTAATATTCATTAGTAACACTATGTGACCATTAATAACATTATTCTGAACTCTGATTCCTTAATGTTTACATCAGCAAGAAAAGGCTCATCCTTCCACAAGTTTCTTATATATTTATTTTATATAATTTATTTTTTCTTCACTTTAATAATTGTACTATCAAAACCCATATGGTAAGCTGTCTTGAAGACAGAACCCAAGTGCCTGTAGTTTGTTTATTCATAAATGGCAAATAGCTTTTCCTCACTTCTCATATATTATTACCCACATTCATATATATATATATATATATATGCCCACTCCCTTCTCATATCATGAACAATCATATTCTCTTTATTTTCAAGATTGCCAATTTGTTAGATGTTTCAATCATACAGCCCAACTCCTAGTGAAAGATTCGAAGTTTCGAGCACTTGGTCGAAAAACCAAGAAGTTATATAACACGATTACGAATGAAAATCGGAATAGAGTACATATATCAAGCTTTTTATATTACAAATTGAATAAAATGCAATAATTAATAAAATATGTATGAGAAGAATGAAAGACATAAATGAGAAGTTGTGTTTTAATAAGTTAGAATGTGTCATCTTAAATCTTGCAAGAGCCGCGTGTGTGTGTATGAAGCATAGTGTGAGCAGTGGTGGGTGACACAAAGGGAAGGAGTAATATTCAAGATTGTTGTCCTATTATATAAAGCTTTACACACAAAAAAAAACACCATATGTGATGTAAAATATATCTTATGATTACCCTTTTGTACTAAACAACATTATCAAAGCCATACTATGATATATATATATATATATATATATATATATATAGTTTTCAAATCAAATTAATTTATGTAAGAATACGGAAGTGTAGTTGCGTACCGATTCTGTCGATCTTATCCTTGGTTGAAATCACAGTCTTCAGATTCTCTGGACGATGGTCGGAAACCGGCTACTAGAGTCGGAATCGCAGATTCACAACCCAGATGCTATTCACCAGAACTGATAATTCACGTTTTCTTTTCTGATGTTTTCTGCATATATATTTGTCATATAGAACCTATACTTTTATAGGATTCAAGCGGTGTTTATGCAAGAGACACAACCGGTACAATGGTTATATCCTACGGTTATGTCTTTTCTCACATACACCCTTTCACCGGGTGTTTCAACCGTCATCTCCCACTCACCCATGAAAGATAATGACTTTTACCAGTTCTGAGTTCATACTAGCAAATGGGTCGTGTGACCACCGAATACACCTGCATGCGGGAGCTCCAAACTAGAAACCCACACAGGGCCAGAATGGAGATTCAACCTCAGGGAAAAATAAATAAATAAATAAATACACGATGTATTCTATACCCTAGGTTCACTTTGTCACATCGAGTCCAATATCTCTTGACCCCTCAATAAAATAAATAAAGACGATACTTAACTCCCACTACTCCATAGTATTTCCAGTTATGATAAGAACACAACAAATTATAACTGGCCGGCCGGTGAACACATATGAGTGATATGACAATACTTTACCTTCATTTCACCCTACTACTACTTAGTTTCGAGTCGACTGCTTTCCTAGACATGCCCCAGTAGATCGAATCACTCGTGACCATAGGAAGCACACTAAAGTAGCAAACATCAACTCTACGCTTCGTAGCATAGTCAAAGTCATAAGGGTATACTCGTAAATCAATATACGATATCAAGTACTTACACAGTGATGAAGCAGAGATCCATTCACTCACTTACTTGATTGGTCATATCTCTAGCACATACAGTATGAAATGTATGCTATGGTGGAGATTCTCCCTCACGGAGTGTATGTCACTCAACACCATACAGGTCATAGTCTAGTTGCTACTCAAGCGACTAACCCGAACTCACAATATGCTTGCTCCCTACAGCATCATATAGGATTCGCATCTGGCTTTTACATAGGTTTCATGGATGGTGGAATAACATCCATGTCGGCTCCAAAACAACTCTAAGCCTCATCTAGGTTCTTACCAAGGCGACATATAATGAAATAAATCGAGTTCGTCCCCCAACGACCCAATTCATTCATGTCTCATCTCTACTCGCTCCCAGAGCGTCAGAGGCGATTGCTCATGTGAGAAAACCAATCATAGCCTATGGACATACAAATCATTATACTAGTGGTACTTTTCACGACTCAGAATGGACATCAATAATACCTTATTAAAAACTGATCGTACAATACAATAAAGTCAACTGAATACATAAACATAGTTCACATCCTTCGTAATCCTAGGGATCTAACATGTCTAATAAACAAATCCCTAGCGATAGGCTTCGTGAACGGATCCGCTACCATCTCGGTAGTCGGGATGTATCTCAAGACCACTTCCTTCTGTGCCACTGCGTCTCTTACAAAATTATATCTTATGGCTATGTGTTTGGTTTTTCCATGATATTTGGGATCCCTAGAATAAGCAAGTGCAGCCATGCTGTCACTATACAC